TTAATTAGTTTTACTTTAAAGCTTACTCTCTAGAGCTTTATTTCCTCTAATTTAATAAACTCTTACTCTTTAAGATTAAGAGTATTATTTATCTATATCTTTATAATTTTAAAGCTCCTTCTAACTCTTATTAAAAGTAAGTATAGATTATAGTTAAATTAAATATAATATAAGTATTATTTATAATATTTTTAATAAGTTATAAATTAGTAAAAGCTAGCTTTAGCTATATTATAAAGAGGCTTTATTACTTAAAATATAATTCCTTTTAAATAATAACCTCTTAGCTCCTTTAGGATATTTAATACTATATTATATAATAGCTTAATTATACTCTAAATATAAGTTTAATTAATATCCTAAAGTATTAGCTATATTCCTATTTATTAAAGTATAACTATAATTACTAAGATTAGCTATTAGCTATATTTTATAATTATTAGAGATTATATAAGGAGTATTATTTTCTTTTAGTTATTATAGCCTTATATAATTAGCTTTAACTTCTTATATAGTACTTTCTTTATACCTTTAACCTCTCTTATAAGATAATAGCTAAAGAGCTTTATATTTAGAATAACTATATATTTAATTAGAATAATTACTTTTATAATAAGAAAAGAGTTAATTTCCTCTTAATCTAATTATTTAAAAGGCTTTCTAGGGATTATAATATACCTTTTATTATAGTATTTAATTATAAGCTTATAGCTTTATTACTCTTTAGTACTTATAAATTATTATATTATTACTTCCTTAGCCTTTTTTAATTATTTATATCTTTATAGTTAAATAACTTCTAAGTATATAAATAGCTTTAGGTTTTCTTTTATTAATTACTCCTTTAAGTAGTTATATAATTTAATATAAGTACTTTAAAACTCTATTAAGCTATTAACTATATTAACTATAACTCCTTTATTTATTATAATAAGAATATAAAAAGGGATAATTTAACTCTTTTTCTTATACTATATAGAGATTTTACTTTTTAATATAAATAATCTTAGGAGTATCTCTTCCTTATTTAAACTATTCCTTATATTAAGAGTATTATTAACCTTCCTTTTTACTATAATTTTATAAAGCTTTATTATTACCTTATTAATTACTTTAGTATACTATAATTAACTTACTATAGATCTTATACTTATTATAACCTTTAGTATTACTTTAAATATAAATAGTATAAGTATTAATTTATTAAGCTTTACTATATTATTTATAATCTTTATTACTCCTTAAAGTAAATATTCCTCTTTAACCCTTAAGTATTTAGCTTCTATAATCTTATATACTCTTTTTAAAGGTATATAATAATACTTAATCTTTTTTATATTTTAATAAGCCTCTATAGAGATCTAATAATATATTATCCCTATAAGTATTACCTCTCTCTTAAACTTAATTATTATAAAGCTTATATTTATATTAAAGCTTATAATATTAAGGGGTCTAAGATAGGTATTTAGTTAATACCTCTTTAAAGCTAACTATATATTTATAGTTATAAGATCCTCTAAGAACCTTACTACTTAATATATAGTACTTATATTAATTATATATAGTATAAGCCTTTTATTAATATATATAATATTAATAATAATTTTATAATTAAAGTTAATATTATCCTTTAAAATAAATTTAAAGTATTAAGAGGCTTTCCCTTTAATTTAATAATAATAATATACTTTATTTATTAGCTCTAAAGTACTTTTATTAATCTTTATACTTACTTTCTTAAGAAGGTTCTATAGCTTATTAATAAAAAGGTAATTAAACCTTTAGTATATATATTAAAGCTAAGCCTCTATTAATTTAATAACTTCCTTACTTTACCCTTTAATAAAGTATATATATATCTATATATATAGCTTATTATTAAGAAAGAACTAAAGATAGCTCTATTTCCTAATTATTAATATATATATAATAAGCTTCTTACTATATTTTATAAGCTTATTTTAGATATTATTTAGATATATATTAAGATTATCTATATCTTTAATATATAATAGAAAAGGGGTATTTACTAAGATTATATAAAAAGGAATATTATTTATTAATATAAATATAATTATTATACTAATTACTTTAAGTAATTCCCTTACTTTAAAGTATACTTAACCTTTAGCTTTATTCTTATTAATATATAAATTAAACTATATATATAAAAGAGCTTTTATTTAATTAATTCTAGCTATTAAGATCTTTATTATTTCTATATTTAGGATAATCTTAAACTAATTAATTATATTATTAATTAGATATAATATAAAGATCTAATTAAGAGGTATAAATAGAGGTATATTTAGTTTTCCCTCTATATTAGCTTATAGCCTATATTTAAAAGACTAATTAATAAGAAAATAAGTTATTATATTACTCTTATACTCTTTCTTTTTTAATTCCTTATTCTTAAAGAGCTTATATTCTATAAGTTAATTACTCTCTTTATCTTTAAGTAGTTTAACTTAAGTAAGGAACTATATAAAGCTACTCTTTTTCTACCTTTTAGCTTCTTATTAATCTCTTTATTACTCCCTTAATCTCTTTTATATTTAGTTCTTTAATCTCTTTAATTAAACTCCTAGAATCTCTTATTTATTATAAAGTAACTTAAGGTAATTATATTCTCTTTAACCTTTATTATACTAAGGAGCTATAAAGAGAGTAAATTAAATACTCTCTATAAGTTTATTAATATTATCTTTAACTCTAGAACTCCTTATATAGCTTAAAGGGTATTAATAACTAAGTAAGTCTTATCCTTATAAGCTAAATTAAGTACTTATTAATACTTTTATAGCTTATTTAAAAGGATCTTAAGTACTTCTATCTAGGACTTATCTATATTCTTACTCTTTATTTATATTAACTTAAATATTATAAAACTTTAATCTAAGTAATATTAAACTTTATTAATATTAAAGTTAAATTCTTCCTTAAGCTTTTTATATATTTAGTTAAATCTTATACTATAGTTTATATAATTAAGAAAGTACTTTTATATATACTTTAATAAAATATATAAAAAGAGTATATATAGCTTTAAATATTAAATCTATAAAAGCTTATAGATATTTATAAAAATCCTTATTTTATAGTTAAGGATATTATAAGGTTCTTTTATATAATTATTCTCCTTATTTTATATATTAATAAATACCTTAATATTTATATTATTAATCTTTTTATTAGCTATAATAGTAAATAAAAGAGTATAATATTATTTTAAGAGTAATAAGCTTTTTAATTAAATTATATACTTTCTCCTATAATCTCCTTATTAATATTATTAAGACTATAAGGGATTATTAACTCCTTTAACCCTTATTTTAACCTTTATTATAAAGTTATTATAAACTTTAAATTAATAAGTTCTTTATAAGCTAAGAGTTTATTTTATAAGTTATTATATTTAATTATTACTCTCTTAAGGGTTCTTTTAATAATCTTATTATATAAAGGTAATATTAAATATCTTATTATTACTTACTTATTTATTCTTAAGGGCTTTCTTATTATTTACTTTTAAAAGCTCTTTATTATTATAATTATTACTTTTTAAAGTATTATTTAAGTATAATAAGAGTTCTTCCTATATAAGAATTTCTATTAATATAATTATAATCTTTATATTAACTTTTCCTAAAATTAAAATCCCTTTATATTATAATTATTCCTTAAGTACTTTTAGGATTACCTTTTAATAATTATTAAAGCTTACTTTTATTTAGCTCTTAAAGTCTTTATAAAAGTATTTAAATAATATTATTTCTTTTTATTATACTATATATATATTACCTTTATTATCTAAATATTCTTTATATTTTTATTTATAATATTATAAGATTTATTAAGCTTATAATTTATATTATAAAAGAATTTTATATTTAGTATTTAAATAATATTATTTAATAAGATTAAAAGTTTATAGAGATTAATAACTCTTTTAAGCTTTTTTCTTATCTTTTATTTATTCTTATAAGCTTATTTAGCTATAGTTATTATAACTATTTTATTACTTATTTTACTATTTTTATTAATCTTTTAATTTAAGAGTTTTAATTACCTTTTTATATATAAATAGTACTCTTAGAGATTATAAGTAATTATAAGGAAAGAGGATATTTTAAAAATAATATATTTTATATAATTACTTATTAAGATATTCTAAGGAGTTAAAGCTTAATAAATATAAAAATAAAGATTATTTTTAGAAAATAATATATCTTATAATTATTAATTAAACCTTTAGAAAGAGCTAAGGTACTATCTAAAGATATTATATTAAATTAATTCTAATTTACCTCCCTTATTAATCTATATTATATATTTAGGTATAATACTAATTAGTATTAATTTCTCTTAGTAATTTACCTATTTATATAAGCTTAGATCTTATAGCTAGGCTATACCTTTAAGCTTAAGATATAGGGGTTTAATAATATAAGTAATTAAAGATAATCTCTTTAATCTCTAGCTAGTTAACCTATATATTAATTATAAATATATATAGGATTATATATACTATTAGGTAACTATAGTAGCGCACGCCTCATAACCTAATATTGAACCAATAACCACATATATAATCCGCATGGGAATATGCCCTTCCATCCCTTGAAGCGCGTAAGTGTGACGATTAAGTTGCTAGGCAAAATGAAATCCTTTCTCAGGTTGACCTTCTGCATCGCCACAGTAAGACATCGCATGAGGAAGCCAACCGGCCAAAAGTCTAAGTGGTCGAGTAAAGGTTCCGCCAAATACGCCGTCCCGGCCATAAAAAAGTAGAAGTACTTAAATTTTCCATGCAAATAGTAGAGCTGTTAAGTACTGGCTACATGTTGCCGCGCAACGCATTCAGCTTACAGCCCTGTAATACAGTGACCAGGTAAACCACTAACCAGATACGGAAATGGCATATGATTTGATGTTTTGCTTGAGAAAACCCTCATCTCATCATTGTCGTGCCAGTCCAACCGAGAAGCATAGCCTCGTGGGAAGAATGGCATCCAGAGCCGCGCAGTCAGAAGTCCAAGGGCGGAAGCCGACGAGAAGATCAAGATACGGGTGCAGGAACTGCAAACTCAGAAAGCTCAAGGTGCGTAACTATCTTCCAATTAATTCAATGCCAATCACCCGCCGCTGATCGCTCTGCCCAAGCCAGTGCGACGAAACCAAACCGCAGTGCAAGAGGTGCTGCTCATTTGGAGTAGTCTGTAACTTCATACTCACTGTTTCTGATCTACAACCCGTCGCCGATGACTCAATAAGGTCATCAGTTCCTCTGAAGGGAGTTGGCCCTCGGCCATCGATGGCCAGTGCTGTCTGGACATCTGACACCACATACTTCTATCAATTGAATGCCAAATGCCAGGACTTCCTCACCCGGTACCTGGGTCGAAGTCTTATTACACCTAACGACCCCAGTATGGTCGAAGTAAATCGCAAACTCCTCGCCCTAACCTTCACGGTAGGTCGTAAGAGTCAGGTTTTTCTACTTGGGATACCATGCAACAACACCAGAATCGTCGGAAATTCGAACGACTGACATGTCATCTACAGCACCCATTCTTGATGCACGCCTCGTTAGCAGTGGCGCTTGCCTATGATCGCCATCTAAACAGCTCACCGGACGGTCGTCGCTTTGTAGAAGAATGTTATCACCGGTCTCAAAGTACAGCACTCTTCAACCGACGGCTACGAGAACCGATTCAGATGGAGGACAAAGATCCAATATGGGGCACCGCAGCGGCCCTAGCTCTCCTGAGCTTCGCAACACCTGATGCATGTATTCCAGAAGAATCATGGCCCTTGAAGACTACCGGGTCCTCCGACTTGGAATGGTTACGCATGAGTAATGGAAAGATGTCGCTCTGGCGCATCACAGACCCCCTCCGACCAGACAGCCTGTTCCATGTTATGGCGCCCGCCTTTGCCCAGATGAACTCGCCCCTCCCAGATATTGGCGTCTATGGTATCCCAAGCCAGCTGGCCAGCGTTTGCAATCTTGACGACAGGTCTACCGAAGAGAGCAACCCTTATTTCAAAGTCGCCCATGCGGTATCCCAGGTATTAGACCTCCCCGATAGCCAGGTCACTACAGGCGAAATTGGGGTCTTCCCACGCAGCATACACGATTCATTCAAATGCTTGCTTTTAGAGAGGGACCCCGTCGCGCTGCTGCTGCTATACCTCTGGTATCGTAAAGCAAGTCGGAGTATGTGGTGGATTGAACTCAGAGCAAGGGTCGAGTGCCCTGCCATTTGCTTGTATCTAAGGACTTATCATAAGGATTACCATTCTGTGCACGAGTTTCTACCGGAGGTTCGGAGATAAGGCGTCCATGATATTAGGCATCTATACTTACTATTATATGGATCTTAGTATGGGATTATGCTGGTCCTGTAAATGCAATTCGTTCCGTGTATTTATCCACTTCTCAGCGTCAGCACACCACTAGCTGCATGCATAGCCAGGTTACAGCCACATGACGATGGCCAGATTTACCCAATGGTGAAAGCTGCGGTATTTTGCTCAATCTCGAGTGGGAATATATATGTGGCCCAAGGGAAGCGAAAGTCCCCGCGTATATCGAGCCAACACAGTATAATCAAACCTCACTACCCAGTGTGATGGGCCGCGATTTATGTTGTCCACCTGTGAGAACAGCCTCCAGCACCCTGCAATCAATGCAAAATGCCAGGTGAGACTGTTGAGGCTTTACCCCGCTACGCCGAGGGCTCGCGTGCCCCAGGCGGCTTTCCACATCGTCGACATCGATCAGTTGCCGTGTACTCCCTACAGGGCCTTGTCCTACTCTTGGGGCAATAGTCTTGTTCAAAATGATTCTCAAATAATTGAAATCGACGGTCACACCCACCAAGTTCGGGAAAACCTGTACAGCTTCCTGTGCAGTGTGGGACAGAGGGAGGAATACGGGCTCTTCTTCATCGACGCCCTTTGCATCAATCAGCTAGACAACGATGAGAAACCAGAACAAGTCATGTTGATGGATAAGGTTTACAAACACGCCAGGCAAGTGGTCGGATGGCTTGGAGATCCAGATTGCCAGCAGTATACGAACGTCAAGACCTTGCATGAGAGCATCCGTCAAGACCGCCGCACGTGGGACCAAGCAGCCTGGGATGGTCTCACCTTTCTCAGCCATGCCAGCTACTGGGGACGCATGTGGGTTGTCCAGGAAGTGGTTCTCGCAGCCAGTATGGAGGTGTGGTGCGGCCCATTCACTTTCCCCGTCGAGCTATTCGAGGACTCATCTTCCATGAGGGATACCTCAAAGTTACGATTCGCACCCGACGGGTCCCCTAATATATCTCTATCAGCCAGCGTCAGGTCGCAAACTCCCGCTCAAATCATCGTGACCCATCGTTTAAGACACGTTCTTCGGCCGATACGGCGGCCTGAGCTGGACCAGACACATATGATGACGCAAGAAGAAATTCAGGATGCTCTACTAAAGCCCAGAGATAAAGTCCATACATACAAATCAGGATTGAGAGATTCGCTTTGGCAACTCATGTCGAAATTCGGGCGGCAAAAGTGCACCGACCCCATGGATAAACTCTACGGGCTACTCGGGATCCTCCATGAAGACACTCGAGACCAGATCAAGCCGGATTATGGCAGAGGTGCCATTTATGCCTTCTATCAGGCGCTGAGAGTCGGTTTACTCAGGCTTTTCCCTATTGAAGACCGGAAGTTCGGTGATCAATTCCTGGACGCGGACCGCTCCTATGTCTACTACTACTGTGATGTTCGGAACGCATTCTCCCTGGACGACAGAGTGACCATGCCAATCTTACGGCAGGTGTGTAAGGAGCTTCAACTGTACAGGAGGGGGCGAGACGCACTGTTTGAGGCCCAGCTTAACAGCATCTACGGCTGGGGTAACCTCGATCTTCGGCATCACAGAGAGTTTGAGAAGGCAATCTTGGATATTGCAGAGGACGAACCTCTATCAAAGGACAGTCGACTCTTCCGCTTTCACTCATGGCAGACGCGAAAGTTGACGAACTTGTATGTTTTTTTTTTAATTCAACAACAGGAATATGCTAACATCTGAAGTAGAGCTGGTCGATTCACGTCTAAAAGAGTAAAATCACAGGGGTGGCAGCCCTTGCTTGAAGATTGAAGACTTATTCGAGGAAGACCAGGTGAAATAGATTTAGTTTATCGTGTATTCTTTCTCTAATGACTATACATCATAATGAATAAGCATTGATTGGTTATTGGGAAGCAACCAAAGCAGGTAGAATGCTACTGCCATACGTCTCAGCAGGCGCCAGAAGCTGATATGTCTCCCACTGCTGCCGAGCAATACTATCCGTCGAATTCACTTCCGCCTCGATGAACTCATCCGCGTCCATTTCATCCTTGGCAAAGTCCTGGCCCTCTTTCTCCAACAGCTTCTCGCTCGCCTCTTGTTGGCCGCCGTTGTCCACCTTTGTCTTTGGCACGGTGATGCCCTGCGCCCAGCTAAAGTAGCCATCCTTGTCCCAAATCTGCTTCACGCGGCGGAGCTCCCAAATGTTATTCCCCCAGTAGGCCATCTCGTGCTGTATGAGCCTGTCATCGGGGAAGTTGACGTATGTTGCGCCCGGCACCATGCCGTAAGGTCGAAGCTGCGGCTTCACGACGTCTAGGACGGCTCGCATGTCGTACTCGAGCCACTTGTCAGTGAACTCGAGGTTGATGTATGCATTGTAGGTGCTTCCCCTCCAGCGGAAGGCACTATCCTTTCGCGAGCGGGCGTTGGCCTCGCCGCCAGAGTGGATAAAGGTGGCCTGGAAGACGGTATCCTTCTCGCTGCCGAATTTCTTGCGGAACGTTTGCATCTCCTTACGAAGGATGTTTGTGATCTTGCCAAATATCTCTGCGTTGTTTTTGAAGACAAAGGAAGTGTGAAGTTGGTAGGTCTTGTTGGTGGGGAAGGCCTTCTTGGTCTCTTCGATCCACTGCGCAGCGAGTGTCTCGTGGAGGAATCGCGTCGAGACCTCTTCCAGAGACCGTTGCTTGAGCTGTGTCTTGAGATAGTCATGCTGGGTTAAAGCAATATCCCGTTGAGCTTCAGTAAGCGCCTCCAGATCCCCCTTTGGTAGTTCCCATCCATCAATGACCTCTTCATACTCTTTCTTCCTGCCATTGAAGTACACGATGAAACGAACACCCACTTCAGTGTCCGTTTTGCTACTCTCGCAGAGCCAAGTGCTATCAATGGTCATAGCATTGGGCCAGTTCTTGGAATAGAATGACTTCATGGTGATCATGAACGCATCCATGTTCTCCTTCTTCACGTACCAGGTAAACTTGCCGGCCATGACCCATTTACTCTGCAGCTTCTTAAGCTCAAGTTTCATCTCGGTAACCACACCGAAGTTGCCGCCACCGGCGCCCCGAAGCGCCCAGAAGAGCGCGCGCTTGTCCAGGTCGGGGTCATTCTTAGCAACGGTAACCTCGTCGCCCGCTGCCGTGACGATGCTAAATTCCTTGACGGTGTCGCAGCCCATCCCAAAGCTTCTGGTGAATGGCGCCAAGCCGCCGCCAAGCATGAAACCGCTGACGCCGACAGAAGGACACCGCCCTCCGTTGACGACGAGGCCATCGAGACGCTCGCTAATGAGTTTCTTGTACACGTGGAACCAGAGAGCGCCACCCTTGATCGTCGCTGTTTTCTCGCCGGTCTTCTCGTCCGTTGCAATCGACACTTGGTTCATCAAGCCGAGCTCCATGAGAATCCCGACTTGGGCAGTAGATCCGCCGGCAAAGGAGTGACCTCCGTTCTTGATAGTGATGGGGATTTTCCTTGCCTTGGCGATCTTGACGACGTCACGCACGTCGCAGGCGCACTTGGGCTGGACAACACAGGGCGGGAGGGAGAAACGGTATAGCAAATTGGCGGTGGCAATGTACCGCTCGTGGTCATCCTCGCCTGGCTCATAAGTAGGGATGCGCTTGGTCCTGAACAGTTTGATAGCCGCCGCCATGTCCTCGGGCTGATATGGGAGGGCGGGGATAGAAGGTTGCTCTGACATGATTGCTGAAAGCGCTTTAATGAATAAAACGAAGTAGGATATGTCTAGGTAAGAGTAATGTGTGTCTGTGACGAGCAGATTGGGTTGAATAGTTCCCAGGTACGTTATATACTTGGAGTTATAGAAATCCATGTTGTGTTGTAATACTACGGGAATCAATAGTGTCTGTCATGTTGCATTGTGGAATCGTATATTCAGTCTAGACGTTCGCACCCTGGATTCGAGGTGGACCAAAATGGAGATAGTGCGGAGGGGGCTGCATGATGGCTGCAAAGATATTGATCTAGTTATGCAGTTCCATCCTCAGCTGGCCGGAGTCGAGGCCGTCTTTCACTAGGTGAGCCACTCACGGACTGAGGGGGGACCCATGGACAAATTCTATTGATCTATCGTTGAGACATGCAGCATTCTATCATCCATTTCGCAGACCATCGAGTGATATTGACACGGGCGGGATTGGGCTTGTATGAATTGGGAGACCTTTTGGCGGATGTTGAGCTGAACCTCACACGTCTTGTTGTTGTCATTGGCTCAATAACCATCATGCGCCGCCTTCAGCTCCATCTCTCCAATAACTTTACTGCTTTCACTATTTTCATATGCTGCCACTGGGTTTTTTTATGTTGCCTAAGACTACTCTGTGCCTGGGATAAGGTCCGAGCATATTGTGAGAGCCCAGTCTAACCACTTGCCGACAAAGAGGCGATTCGCCAAGTTAACCACATGACTATCAATCAGAATGACGCGTAATACATCGTACACAGTCCTATATTTCTATCGCTATCGCTATCGCCAATACTTAGCTTCGGCATAATAAGAGCCACGTGAGAGAAGAATGGAAGATTTGGCATCTATTTTGGGCAGATGCGATGTCACAGCCGCCAAGGAGCGAGCAGGCCAATCAGCTCGCAGCACACAGCCAAGCCACGGGGGTGATGGAGAGAGACTGCGCAAGTCAAAGTGACGATCTTGGGCTGATTCTGCTTGGAAATAAGGCTTTCTTCCCCGGCAGTCGTCACCGGCACTAAATGAGCCCCCAAAACCGCGCTGGAAATCTCCACATGCGCCCACCGAGCCACCGCTGGACACGACGCTGTCTCAACTGTGAATGAGGATCTGGATAGCATCAAATAAATAAATACGGCCCGTTGCTCAGTATCTATCCTGATAATTCATCATTCAATCCAATTCACAAGCTACTTCACCAGTATAAAACTGCCACTTTACCAAACACTTCCACACAACAACCAATTCGCCAACATCATGTCTGCCCAGAGTTACTACGGATCTTCCTCCAACTCCAACAACTATCCTCAACAGGTCAGTCTCAAATCAACACGTTCACCATCTCCAACTTCAGGCCATGTACTAACTTCCCACGACCAGGCTCAGTATGCCCAACAGCCAAGCCAGGGCTCTCCCTATGGCCAAGGACAGGGAGCTCCTTACCAGCAGTCCTACAATGCCCAGCCGTACCAAGCCCACCCACAGGCACACGGCCAGCCTGAGATGATGGCTGGCCCCGATGGCGAGCGAGGTCTCGGTGCAACTGTTGTCGGAGGCGGTGCCGCTGGCTGGACAGCCCACAAGGCCGGCGCAGGCATGCTCGGCAGTCTTGCAAGCGCCGCCGCCGGTGCGATTGGTGCCAATTTCCTCGAGAACAAGCTCAAGAAGTAAGACGGCCGTCAAGATCAAGTGCTCGTGGCTGGGTGGCTAGCTAACAAGCATGTGTCATCTAGGCATCGCAAGGATAAGAAGAACAAGCACTAAACTTGCGTAAGAACCATCATGACTCATGATGTCTGGGTATACGAGGGGATAGGGCTATGAGGACGTTTGTTATATTGGGATTAGATTGATATGATGATGGATTACACTGTGTTTTTTTGTTTTGGCTGCATGTGTGGGTGTGCAACATAGATTATGATAATAGACTGTTTATGCAAGTAAAGCCTTTCATCGAGTGATTTTTATCTTTACTACTCCCATGGAACAGCATTCGGCTCTCACGGTTGTGGATTCCAGTCACACAAGCTTACATAGCCATGTACCTGTCAGCAATTGGAGGCGACAAGGACACGTTTGCTTCTAAAGCGACAACAAAACCGTGCCACATCCTAGCACGAAACAGATATTTACCAGTTCTTTACCCTTCACCATGAAGCCTCTCCAGTGTTTGGTTCTTGCAAATCTTGTCTGCGCTTCGAGCACCGCATTTCTGCCTCACTCACTACTAGCTTATTTCGGTCTGTCAGGGAGTAACATCGCACGTTTCATTCGCGAGATCAATCATCCCTACATCAAGTTTCACCAGTACGACATCGAATCCCTTTCGGATCCCACCGAGGCATTATGCAATCCAGACTCACAATTCCGAGCATCCTTGCCGGAATTCCCGGACCACCTATTCAAAAGACTATCCGTAGACAACAACAAAGTGTCCCAGGGCAGACGTGGATGGACTAATGCCAGAGAGGTCCTATCTGACATCCTAAGCTGCAAAGCGGCTCTTGATGGCGTTGAAGAGTTTGAGGTCGACATATTCCTACATAGGGGAGAGGATGAGTGGTTTGGCGAGGCGCCGACCCCATACGATGATGTTCTGGACCTATTTGTACGGTTCTTCGCCAATGCTCCGCGTCTTTCGAATCTCACATGGGTCCAACCGTCTACAGATGGTGCTGCAGCCGCTACGTTTGAGAAATACTTCCTGGAGCGAAACGTCGAACTTCCAGCCTTGGCAGAGGCAAGTCTCGGACCCAACATGCACTTCTTGCTGCCTGGGGCACCACACTTGCGGAAGCTTACCTCCTACTCAAAGAGTTACGGATGGTCCACTTACTCGATGAGATCTCTGTCTCAACAAGCAGATGGTCCGCAGATGAGTTTCGTGAGGTCCACTTCGAAGCTAAAGCGTCTCGAAGAGTTTGGCCTTCATGCGACGTGGACACCAGAGTTGGTCGCTGAGCTACAACAGTCAGCGGGCCAACTAGTGGAACTAGATATGGACGGGGATGTGGACGGACGGTGGACCGGGGAGAATCTTGGGGTGAGCCTGTTCCCTTGTCGAGCAAGAACGCGCGAGGCATGAAATTCCACAGGAAAAAAGCTAATCAAATACTTGATGATATAGGCAATGGCAAGGGAATTGAACAAGTTCAAAAACCTGAGGCAACTTGGACTTCCTCATGTTGTTCACTTAGGCTTCGACTCTGGTGAATGGCCAGATTGTGGCAACGCATACTTCGGTGCTTCTGGAAGGGTCTTGAGACGGCAGGAGGAAATAAGTTATATCTCCAGCACCGAGAAGGCAGCTGGAATCATCGCCCCCCTGATGCCAAATCTTGAGAAGTTGTGCATAGGTGGTGAGTGCACGGAGACCACGCCTGGCAAGGAACTGAAATGGCCATGGACAGGCCGACTCCGGGAATATATGCTGGAGGAATGGCCGCGATATGACGGGAAAAGTGGCGAACGCGTTACAGTTGGATACCGGGAGTCTGAGGACCCTCAAGGTCCAGTCCTGGAAAGCTGGGAAGAGGACAGAAAGTGGTTCGGTGGGTCAGATGGCCATGAGGAGCTTTAACACGTAAGGTCTATATACACAGAATCTGCTAGTGCGCATATGTAGCCTGAAGAGAAGACAAAGGACTGACTATTGAGATGTAAAGGAAAGTGATTACCCGAGGGCTTGGGAGAGAGCTGACCTGGGGTGAAGAAATTACCTGAAAGAGTGCATGGCGAGATATTTCCCAACGGTCAGAAGTAAAAGCCATCGCGTAGATTAGTTCACCAGCTCCGTTTGTTTCATTCAATCTATGATAAAGCTAATCCACCATGAACATGTAGGGGGGTTAACACGTCCCCGTGTTGGTCCGTCTAGCTGCTCTTCATTTCACTTACAAGCTTAAACATGTCTGCCAAAGTCTCCACGGTAGTGAGAACGCTGTCATGGTTGGTCTTCTCGACAGTCCTCGCTCTAATGTCCACAAGCTGATCATGTGCTGCAGCCGCCTCTACCCAACACGATCGGAAGTAGTCTTGGCCCTTCTTACCAGTCATGATGTCCGACTCGGCAAAGTAGATGCTTACGCTGAGCGTCCCCGCCTGGCCCTCTGAGTGTGCCTCCTTCTCTCTCGAAGCGATCTTATCGACCAGATCATGCATGTTTTCGGCTTCATCCCACGCGCCTTTTGGTCCCTTTTTGAGACAGTTGACCGCTTCCCAGTTTGCACCAGCTGTTTCTTGATCAAACATACCTCGGATCATGAGACGCTCCAGCTCGACTTGGGTATCGTACCCGGGTCCGTAATCCCGTGCGATGGCCCGCATATTCTTCTCCCGCTCTGAGGGCTCTTGGTTCCCAGGCGTCAGGGCTTGGGCCATCTGACCCAGAATACCGGACGACGCCTCAATCGTCCCTGATGCCTGAACGACAAAGAATTTGGCCAGCTTGTTCCACTGCGATAGGGCGAAGGCTGGAAACATCTGCAGCGAGGAGATGAGCGCCGCGCCGGAGCAGGCTCCGTCCACGAAGGGGGCGAAGAAGAAGACCATGGGACGTTGAGGGTGCAAGATCTGACGCGAGTGCCAGAGGAGGTTCATGTTGTAGAGTGTGCCTGCGCTGTGGGATGCGAGCGCGACGTGCTTGATGCCGAGCGCTTCCAGGAATTTGGGCAGGATAGCCACCCAGTCCTTGATACGATCCTCTGCACAAACATTTGGCGTTTTTCCAAAGCCAAAACTGTCAAAGTGTGAGCTTTCATTCAAGCATTGCAATCCGGGGGGAATTACCGGTCTGGGACCAAGACTCTCACGCCGTGCTTCTGTCCAAAGGCGTGCATGAACGTGCCAAGGTATCGCGACCCAAACATGCCAGGCGTGAACAAGATGGTCGGTGTCTCTGCATTACTGCTGGAATCTAGATGTCCGCACTCTGAATAGCTGATCAGAACGTCACCATGCTTGTCGCCTGAGGGGATGGTGATTGTTTGATGAAAGCCCGGATTGGCGAGATATTCCGCCGCCGCGGTTAAGGCAGTATTATCGGCAGCCATGATACCACCAAATCTGCTACTGACAGGTAACACAATGCTGAAATCAGGGCCTGAAATAAGAACAAATTCGGTAAAGAATTATAGATGCAATTATCGTTCGACAAAGTGGTCAGCTGGATGTTGTAGGTGCGAAGTTCTATCAGCCGCAAGCGGGGCGTTCCGGAAATGAGAAAGCGGGTTTTGCTAAAAGGATTCGTATTGACAGTTCAGATACCGAGCGTGTAAGCGGGAAAGATATAGAGTGAGAATCCACATGTTCCCTCTGGGGAAGCCTGCTCTATAGGCGTTTGAGTTGGCTTGGAATAAATACCAGCCTCGTACTAAGCTGCGGCAGCCATGGAGGACCAAACGCATTGCATTCTCTTCTTCCCCGACACTAGAGCCCTACCCTGTAGCCCGACAAGTGCAAGACTCTCACGGTTCGGAACTATCATCTACACAGCTTATCGAATGAGCATTCAATTTTGCTAGACTTCTGTATGGAATCATTGAAATGTTTTTCAAATTAAATAATTCTAGGACGTTTAGCCGGGGTAGCTACCCGATGGCATGGCATGAGGATCCATTGCATTCCCTATTTACGAACACCCAATCCAAGCACGACAACAGGGGCATATCAGTCTATGCCGGTCTAAAGTCTCTAGAAATGTGCGATATGGATAAATTCATGATTCTTCAATAAAAATATACTGTAATTGGCTCATCAATCCATGCCAAAGGGAGATAATTATCATTGTGAGGTATCTTCGGCCATTTGGCGATTGGGAAGCAACCGATAAACAGCTGTTGGGGCAGTCATCAGGCCTCCTTCGGGCCTGAATTGGGCCGATCTGCGGAGTTTCGGGCGCGGCCTGGGCAATCCCTGTTAGCGCAGATCGAGCCCCAATTCGCGTCGACGCGTTCAATTGTTATTACTATGACGAAACTACAACTGCCCTCCGCACCATTCTCGCGAATCAATTAAGAATCGACCGGTAACGACGGGTAGAATCTACGCTGTAGCGTAGCAGCTGAGTCACTTCATTACCTCGTACCACATAGTCAGTCAATCACCATGGCTCCCGCACCCCCCAAGCAGACACCAGTCCCCCTCCCCATCCCCGTGGGCATGCCGACCACATCGCTGCCCGCGCATGTCATTACCAGGCCAGCTCCTCTCGCTGAGAAGGATGCCAATGCTGTTCCCATCCCACAACCTACCGGCGGCAAGAAACGCAAGTCAGCTGGAGCGGCCGACGGCGATGATAAGCCCAAGCGGTCCAAGAAGGCCAGCGTCAAGGATGCCCAGGACGCCCTCCTCGACGTCAACCACATCGATCTGCCTGGGCAAGAGTCCCGCAAGGTGCCCGTCTTCGACACCTGCAGGGAGATCCGGAAAAAGATCAAGGCCCTCCTTCGCAAGGGCGTCCAGCAGGCCGCCTTTGTCCGGGCAATGAACAAGGGCCTGCCCGACGACGGCGGCAAGAAGGTCAACTCGATGAACATGAAGACCTTCATGGAGCAGAAGGACACCATGGACGGGAACACGAGCACGGTGTTCTACGCCGCCTACATCTTCTTCGAGAGGCAGCGCGTCAAGGACAACAAGCCCAAGACGGCCTTCCGGGAGGAGATGGAGAAGACTCATGGCAGGGAGGGCGTAGATATTGTCCACAATGTGAAGGGTGGGTGTTGGCTATTTGCCGGCGAGAGCGCCCACATGGACAAGTACGGAAAGCTGCAAATCTCAGGGGGGCGATAGTTGCTGCTCTGATGAATGTCATTTTGTATTGTTTCTGGTGATGCTTAGGATTGAAGTTATTGCAAGGCGAAGCATTTCGAAGCAATCGGCAGAGAGGTTTTGGGGTCTTGAATCTCGGATCTGTCACTGGCGTTTCTTAGGCATGGATGATTTGGAACAGAATAAAGATGATTCAATCAAACATATTTGTCATTAAGTCGTAGATTGAAGTAACATGATCTTTGCCCTCATAGAGCTTGCAATCTCAAGCTACGAGGAAAGCATCTCAAAATAGCACCCACGGCTTCCAACCAACACACATCCCCTTCGCCGCGTACATCGCCACACCACATGCCCCATACAAGCATCCGGAAAATACAACAGCAGACCAATAGTCACCACCTGCCGCTGAAATCAACTGTCCCCCCAGCGGCACTCCAATGAGGCCAGCGAACGACGCCACAGTGCACGAGGTGGCATAGTACCGGCCATAGTTCTTTATACCACACAGCTTTCCGATGCACACAGGATTGATGCTCATATGGCTCCCGCTGCCAAATCCAAACATGATAACGAAGACCACCAGGCCGGCAAGGGAGGATCCTGCTGGAAGCCAGATGGCCAGGCAAGATACGCAGCACAATATGGAAGCAAGCATGTGCGAGTTGAAGGCCCCGAACCGATCACCCCACCACCCTGACAGAATCCTGCCGCAGACACTCGCTGCATTTAGAATGGTTGGGATTTGATAGGAGAAACCGAGGCCGAACCCTTTGCTGAGGGCGTAGCTCGAAACGTACGTCAAAGGAATGAATATTGCGAACTCCATCAGAAAGAGTCCCAATGTTGCCAAGCTGAATGCAGCGTCTCGGAATATCTTGGGGTCGGGGTGCAGGCTCATGCCCCCAGTCGACGATAATCGTGTACGGACGAAGAAGAATGCGCAAACGCAACAGAAGATGTTGATGAGGCCCAGTGCCCACATGCCCCATCTCCAGCCGGCCTGCTCAAAGAGAACACGGAGGATGATGGGATACACCATACCGCCGAACGAGCTGCCCGTGGATGCAATTCCCGTCGCCAGACCTCGACGCTGCTTAAACCAGTGGCCAACAGTAGCGTATGAAGGGGTGTAGAGTAGCGCCCCTCCGATGCCATTCAGAACTCCAAAAACCAACACAAAACTCCAATATTCTGGCCACCGGGTTTAGTTGTGTAATTCTTAAATTCAAGGAGGGGAGGTTCTCACCAGTGCAGATACTCAGCAGCATTAGTGAGGCGACGACACATGCTCCTCCCGCAGCAATCAGCCATTTCGGTCCGTATTTGTCGAAGATGGGGCCGACGTAGATGCCGCAGAAGAAGGAGAGAAACGCCCAGATGGAGAAAATCCAGCCGATGGATCCCTCATCGCGACCTGCGAGCTGGTGTCTGCTGACATACGCATGTATCGTGGCCATTGAGCTTGCCAGTCCCAGCGAGCCGAAGCAGGCGAGCCAGCAACCGAGCACAACCAGCCATGCTCTCAGGCCACCTTCGGGGAAATCTTGCTCTTGCTCTTCGGGACGAGCCTCTTCTTCAGAAGCAGCTGGGGCGGTTTCATTTTGTACTGAGCGTTTCTCATTTGCTGCAGGTTTCGGAGGGTTGACCTGGGCTTTGGTGTCCGGACTTGTAGACATTGTGTAAGGGGTTGACGGGTAGTCTAGAGTTCTGAACGCTTTTCTGAGGTACGCTAGGATGAGTTTTTCCCATTGACAGTTTGTAGATTTCAGCCAGTCTGTTGATGAGGCACCAAGATGTTCCTCGCTGAAGTGAGGAGAGCGCGGAATTACAGTATGCAATGCTCTCGGCATCGGCTTGCAGCTCGGCATCGGCTTGACCCGCCTCCAGGTGCCAGCCCGGGATCGGCTTGGTGGAGTGGTCGAGCCTTCTCAGCGCGTATGTGGGCGAGTAACTTGTTTCGGTTAACATAGTTAACCCCAAAGAGGCCATGCCTCTAATCGAAAGTGGAAGCTGATTGCTGTGTGCCAGTTGATGAAAGAGCAAGTGTTGAATTGCGTGATGGAGGCTAGAAGCTGTCCAGTGGTGTTTCCCGAAATATTTTTGGTGTTCTCCGCTCGCCATCTTATTCAAATGCTCACCTTGAAACCGAAGAACACAGACCAACATGGCTCTATGTTTGGAGACCTAGCAGTCTAGTTGGTAAGGCATCTAATGATATTTTCGCAGCATGAAAACTAGCCTTATATCGAGACTTGTGATCAGGCTATTTTGCCACAGAATAGTCTTGAAAGGGCTATTGGAAGAACGTTTATTTGCGTTATTGGGAAAGACTTACGACCGTTGCGTCCACTGGTCTATACATAGAGACGATTTGGTCCGAGTTTCAATCGACTCAACAACCTTTTTGGTTCTGGCTGTTCTGGATCTGCTTCTAATAAAAGTATTGCCTTTAGCGGCGCAAATCTGAGCCACATGGCATACAGGTGATACTCAACTGCATCCTCTACCACCTACCAACGTCCTCTAGACTGGTAAGACTTTCCGCTGCAGCGACCATGGCTACTTGTTAAACAGTTGGTCCCGCAATGGGCCAATTATGTATGTTTACATACGCTGGGGCCCTTGTACAGGGGCAGCCCTTGATCTCGCAAACCTGTAGGCTGACATGCCCCTTTGTTTCTGCAAAATCACGGATTTACCCACAAGATTCACGGTGGTTAGGAAATTCGTCGATGCTGGAACACGCTCGACATGTTTTTGCCTCAGGAAGTCATTGACAACATCGTGTTCTCGCTTCTCACCCCCGTGTACCAGTCCGAGAACCGGGCGGCTAGCACGCAATGGATTGATGGGCGTGTGTTTAAAACCAACACCTGCAGAGATAAGCTTGGCATTGGCCATCGTATGGCCTTCGACCTCGAGACCGTCTGCAATATACGCCTAGTATCTCTTGCATGGTACTGTAGCGCCACGAAGCTTCTTGAGAAACACAATTCATGGCATGTAGATCTTGACTCGGAGTATTCGCTTGCTAAGACAAGGCAGCTATGCACAGATGAGATGGGGATTGGAAGACTGCTCCCAACCCGCAATATTGTCAGGAGATTGAAGATACCGGTAATCATGACGAGTATGGCACCAAAACTGATCCAGTATGAAAGGATAGTTGGGCGGCCAACCGAGGAGCAGTTGTTGCAATGGCCCAAGGACAGCGTGGCTGCGTACCGACGTTTCAGGCTCGCCTGCGTTTCCGATGTGAACGGGGAAGAGGCTCGGGAACGATCAACAGCTATGACGGTGGTGTATACTGCACTCCATGGCTTGTTGAAAAGTTCTCGTCCACATCGAATCTTTTGACATCGCCTTTCCAGAAGCTTCCTGGATTTGGGATGATCGTGGCGCAGAGTCACACATTTTCAATGTGATCCAAGGACTTTTGCCGGAAATTGAGTACGCATTCCAGACAGAGGCGTTCACTTATTTGCAGGATCTCCGCGTTTCTCTCCTTGGAACATATAATGTCAGAGGCTACCTTTTTGGCATGAGTCAAGTGGCGCGGGATAGGCTCAAAAACCTATTCATAGGCATCACAGACGCTATGGGAGCTGCCGGATGCCATGAATATATTTCGAAATCTCGGGGGGAAACAGAAGACTTGGATGGGACAGTTTATGAATCGAGAGAGACGGTGGTGAAAACTCCACCAAGCCACCTGCAGCTGTACAAGCCGAATAGGCGATACCAAGACAATCTATGGGAATTCATTTCTTCATGCCACAATCTTACGTCCTTGGGCGTCAAGGCAACTCATTACTTGGACCTGCGGAACCTCACACGGAAAGGCTACGCTCGGCTCAATGGCCTGAGCGAACTCTATCTTTCTCGTGTTTACGTGGATGAAAAATCCATATTAAGGCTCTTACTGTCCGAGAAATGGGATAAGACGACACCAGCGAGTCTACAAAACCTCACTCTGGAAGTTGTGAAGATGCATGTTGACGGTGGTACTTGGTGTCAAGTGATGCAAGTTCTTTGGGATCATTGTACCAACCTCAACTATTTGTCGCTGTCGATGCTCTCCTACTTTTTGAGTCATCCGAGAGCCTGGAGTCTCGATGAAAGGTACTATGGGTCTGAAGAAATCATCGCAACGAGGAGTGAGGAGGACATTGACTCGGTCCGCAGGATTGTGGATCGGTTTCTAGAGAGGGAGGGAGGCATATTAAACTGCCCAGAGGTTTATTATTCTATGGCAATTGGCCTGGGATACGATAAATTAGACTGTAAATGGAGGGAAGGACGCAAAGGACGCGGCTGATGAGGTCAGGTGAGATACTGGCGTTACAAGATTGAGACATTTGAATGACGAACAAGATGCAACTGGGGTGACCCTTACCGCTCTCCAATCTGTGATGTGTCTGATTATAATGCCTTATTACTGATCGTGTTCAAAATGAAATAGCAGACGTTCCTTTAAAGCCCATTTCCAAGTAGCCTGTTTTGGGCTCCTTATACGAATTAGTACCTGGGATGTCAATATTCGAGTCTACCCAATTGCAGGGTCCTTGGTTGTATCTCAAGATAGAACAAGTCTTGGCAATTGGGCACATCTTCTTCTCTCTTCCAAAGTCGAGTCAAACGAGAAACGCCCTATCTCTGAGTCAAGGACGGTCAGTTCGTGATCGAGCCCAAATCTCCTGTTCGACGCGTCGCCCCAGATTCCACCCACTAAAAAGCAGCTACGAGTCACCGCCAGGGTGTTCCCAAGTCGTTTGGTCAACCGATTATCCACTCTTCTAGGTGTCATCGCTTTAGCTCATTGACAAGTCGTCGGGAGCCGCGGTAGATCCATGCACGCAGATCGCGTGGGAAGCTGTCGTCCAATGAATGCTTCACCTACCTGTCATCCAAAAAAAGACACTCTCGTCTTGGATTGGTGCCCAACACGGGGATATATTCCACTGCCGTTCACCGCCTCATTGCGAATTTTTTCCAATCCTCTCCTCTAATTCCTGTTCTTCAATTGATATCATTTATGATTTTGTCGAGCGATAAGACTAACGTTTAACGCCCACGACAAGCGTCGGCACATACCGCTGACTGGGGAACACCGCCATGTCGATTTTACTCAACCCGAAGAAACCAAATGTGGAGTAAGTATTGTTGAATCTATCCAGCACTAGACATGAAGCTCATTAGATGCAAAGTATTGTCCTCGTCCACGGTGTCAACGTTTGGAGCGACCCGAAACCTGCTGCCGATACCTGGACATGTGACACACCAGATGGCAGAGTGCACTGGGTAAGAGATTTTCTTCCCATCTATGAAGAAACCTCTCGCGCTCGTGTACTTGCCCACGAGTACGATGCTTCCGCCGTATGGGGGACGGGGCCAAAGGCCGTCGGAGCCGAAGCTGACAGGCTGTTGGATTGGCTGCATGTTCAACGCAAGGTGTGTTCCTCCTACTTCCCGCGTAAGAACGTGCTACAGAATTGCTTACTTAACTTGCTAGGGTTGTGCCGCGAGACCTATAATCTTTCTGGCTCATAGCCTCGGAGGTCTTTTAGTGAAAGCGGTAAGTTTCGAGCTGTCCCCTTCGAAGTGAGCTCGTGTCCGGAGCTAATTTTCCGTTTCTCTGTGAGTAGGCCTTGGTACGAGCCAAGAGGAGTAGTGGCAAGTCTTCAACGATATGGTATTTCACCACCGGTATCATGTTCTTCGGGACGCCGCATCGTGGTGTCGATAGCAACGTCCACGGCAAAGTCGCCAACCTCTTTCAGACCCTCAACGCAGACCGCCCCGACACCAACTTCTTAACAGCTATGGATGCTTATGCCCCGGAGATTGATCGACTTTATGAGAGGTTCAGTGAGATGTATGGAAGGTATCAATTCGTTACCGTGTATGAAACACGGCCGCATAGGATTAAGCCATTGGGGTTGGTAAGTGAGATTTGATTGCTCTTGTAGATATGTGAGCTAACTGTGTGATTAGATTGTTCCCAGAAATTCAGCGGTGCTTGGCTTACCGGACGGTCATGAAACACGCATCGCTCTTGACCGTGACCACACCAGCATCTGCAAGTTTGCCTCTGACAGAGAACACGAATTTCAGGCCGTCTTTGCAAACTTCGTCCTTCTCTGCCAAGAGGCAACGACGGCTTTCAAGACACCAGGAGAGCCTGAACCGGTTCCCGTTAACCCCACCATCAATAACTATCCACCTGGTAAGCAAGACAAACCGGGGCGAAAGAAGGGCTGAAAAATAAAGACATTGAAATTCTGAACTGACAGAACTGTTAGAACCCGAGGCGAGCATGTCATTCGAGCAAGCACTGCTGGAGGCCCGAGCCTTCCTCAACTCGAAGAGGACCGCATCCGCCTTGAGAACCGTCGACGAAGAGATTCGAAAACGCCAGTCTTCAACAAACGGCAGTGCCATGAATCTCGTCCCTCAAATCACTCTTGTGATGCCTGTTTTGTCTTCACTCGTGAAGCTAGGTCTCACCTTTGGAGCGTATTTGATGCCAACACTACGAAGCACCATCAGCATGATAGTAGGTGGACTGGATGACATCGAAACAGATCAGGAACAGATCTACCATCTCTCGAGATTGAGCCTCTCCATCATGAGTGACGGCGTGCGGGACAGCAAACGGATAAAGAAGAAGCTGGAGAAGCATCTCTCTAATGAGCTGGGAGACTCCACGCAGAAGACGGAGGCACAAAGGCTGATAACTGGGTTGGACGCCTACACCCAGCTGTGGACGAGGGAAATAAGAAACCGACAGCCACAAATGGAAGAGGCGTATAGAAGAGTGCAAGAGACCGAGGACTTCAAAGAGGAGTTCGAGCGTGCGCAGGACGGATCGGAGGAGTCTTTCTTGGAATGGCTGGTCCTCTTGATCCCCAGACTTTTGGCCTGGCTTCAGGCGTTGATCATCGAGATGGGAGTATTCCTCGGTCGATCTTTATCTTCATTGTGGACTTGACAGAACTAAGAGCTTTGGGGATTTTCTTTTGTTTGCATACTCCTTCTTCATTATTTAGTTTTCAGATACATGGCCATTCTCACAACGGTGAATCCACCGATAAATGAATATTCGCTACACTAAAGCGCTTCCACTTTTGCATCCAATGCTGTGTCAAAATGATACGCATGCCTTCATTTGTGCCCGTTCAGTTGTAAAAATTCTGCTTCATCGCTGTCTTTAATTTCGCGATTTCATGCCATGCTTCCATATTGCTGGTTGTGGACTTTCATCTACAGTCCAGCTTTGTTCAATATTTAGCTGTTTTCATGTATTACAAAGCGAGATCATACCCTTGAACAGCAACCCTATAAAATTACCCTTTATTATTTAGGCTGTGATCAGCTGTAGCTATAATGTGTGACTGACTGGTAGCTACCTAGAATCAGGCGAGAAACCAACTTCAATTGTCTGTACCCAAATGACGGATATCATGACATGAACAGCATCTACACATCGCCACCACTACCCCTCTCACAGGTGTGAGCTCTTCTCCTTCGCAGGACCTTTACCTCTTTGGCTGAGAACAGCCCCGCCGTCGATCTCAAACACATTGCCCGTCATATGCGCGCCCCCCTTGCTGGCAACAAACAGCACAAGCCCGGCAAAGTCCTCGGGCTTCCCAACCCTCCCACCCGGCTGGTTATCGAACAGCGTCTTGGTGGATTCGCGCAGGCCATAAGATGACATGCGGCTGGGGAACACGCCGGGCGCGATGCAGTTGACCGTCACATGTTCCGGCATCAGCTTGGAGGCCAGCTGCTTGGAGAGGTGAATAGCGGCCGCCTTGCTGGGGCCGTAGCTGAAGACGCCTGTTCCGGGAGGGGACAGGCCGCCGTCGTCGCCGGAGGTGGAATCGGCCGTGGAGATTCCGGCCATGCTGGCGATGTTGATGACGCGGCTGGGCTCGTCGGCCGTCGCGCCCTTGACGAGCTGGTGGTGCAGACCGACTGTCACGTAGAAGATGGCCTTTACGTTGAGGGCCATGAGCTTATCCCACCCGGATTCAGGGAAGTCGAAGTAAGGTCCACCCCTATAAAGAGTCAAACGGTTAGCCTCATTGCTTGACTATGCCTGGTTTTTATAACCCACCACGTTGCGCCGGAGTTGTTGATGAGAACAGTCAGCCTGTCGGTGCGCTTCTTGACCTCGGCAACCAGAGCGTCGCACCCAGCCTTGTCCTTGAGGTCGGCGACAATGTACTCGCACTTGCCCGGGCCCAGTGCATTGAGACGCGCGGTGGCCGTCTCCAGGTCCTTCTGCTTGCGGCTGGCGATGATGACACGCGCGCCGTTCTGGATGAAGGCCTGGGCCGCCATCTCGCCCAGGCCAGAGGCACCGCCCGTGACGAGCACGACGTGGTGGCTGGCATTGAACAGGTTGCCGACCGTGAGGTCGACGTTTGACGACAGGTGGGCCATTGAGAGCGGGATCTATGCGAACAGGATTATGGGTTGGTGTTTGGGGAAAAACAGATCGCAGTCATGATATCCAGATAATACTAATAATAACACACGGACCAGTGTCAGGATTCAGGTGAACGCCCGATGCGGGGTTGCCGAGGTACAATATAATGCCTGTCCAAGGAAAAGGGGGCGAAACAGGTACAAAAGAGATCCAGGCTGATTAACGATACATGTTAACCAACGCAACGTCCTCAATCCCCCGAGTTGGTCTATATATCCAAACTCGAGACAGTCAGTTAAGGGAGGGCGAGACTGTTGCTGTGCGCAGTGCGACTGACCGCTCCTCTGCCACCAGTGAGCCCATCAGCTTACACATCATCCCTCACCTCGACACCCGATCCTCCCGGGGCGGTACCTGCCAAATGCTTCTGTAGGGCCTCATTGTTGTACATTTGTCGATCGCGGGCCGCTTGCGTCGTCATGTCTAGACTAGGGAAAGGATTCACAAATAGAGAGCGAGGTTGCAGTAAGACGTGGAGCCGAGGATCCAGCCCTCGGGTTCGCCATATCCAAAGGATAAAAATTAATAAAGATGATCGAATAATGGGCGGCGCATCTTAGCAATCTAGACAGCAATGATAAGTCACGTATATGAGTCGCTTTGTGCTGCGCTGAGAAGGTTTGAGCAGATTTAAGAATGTATGGGGCCGCCACATAAGCACAAAAGAAACTCATTTCATTGGGGGACACATTATCATGATGAACCTACGTGCCAACCTCATCTCCAAAATCAATCCATCAAGCAAAGGTTGATTTCTCGCTGAATAGCGGAACTCAGGCATCGTTTCTTTGGACGCAGCCTAAAGACGCGAGCCTCGACCA